ATACAGTTGTCTTTAGAAAAAAACAAGCATAAGTACAATTTTATTAGACCCCCCCCCCCCACACACATGTGCACACACACACACACACAGAATCCTTAATAACATCAATGGTCCAGTCATGATTAAATAATCCTGTTTGTTTCATGATATTTTTAATTTGTTTAAAACAGTATCCAAATGAGAGCCGTTATGTGGCAATTTCTAAATATCTCAAGTCTCTTAGTCCTTGTAGATTCTCATCCCCTCCCATTGTGGTATAATTTTTCCATTGTAAAAATAGGACATTTGTCTTGTAGTTTTCTGCAGCCAAGATTGTGCTGATGAGATATAGCACTTTTTGAATACATATATAATTCTGTCCCTGGAAATTTATGCCCAGTTGCCAATAGCTGTTCCTGTCACACTCAGGCAGTTTGTGGTTCATTTTTTCTGGAAGTGTATTTTGGGAGTGCTACCATGTAGCAACTTCCAATTATTTTTCAGGTTACTTTTTTTTTTTTTTAAAGATTTTATTTATTTATTTGACAGAGAGAGACACAGCGAGAGAGGGAACACAAGCAGGGGGAGTGGGAGAGGGAGAAGCAGGCTTCCCAAGGAGCAGGGAGCCCGATATGGGGCTCGATCCCAGGACCCTGGGATCATGACCTGAGCCGAAGGCAGACGCTTAACGACTGAGCCACCCAGGTTCCCCCAGGTTACTTTTTGAGTAAATAATATTCTCGTGGTTCGAAAATAAAAAATAAAAGCTATTTAGTGAAAAGAGCTTTCCAGCCTGGTCCTGTGTTATCCTATTCCTCCACCTGGATACCACTTTATAAGTTTCTGAAGTATTTTTCCAGTGTCTCCTTATGTGTAACCACTTAGCCATATTGCTTTTTTTTTTTTCTTAAAGATTTTATTTATTTGAGAGAGAAATCATGAATGGGGTGGGGAGGGGCAGGGGGAGAAGGAGAAGCAGACTCCCCTGAGCTGGGAGCTCAGTGTGGGGCTCGATGATCCCAGGACCCCGAGATAATGACCTGAGCCAAAGGTAGACATTTAACCGACTGAGCCACTCAGGTGCCCCTACTGTATTGCCTTTTATTTTTATTATTTAATTTTTATATGAGAGAGCATGAGCACAAGTGGGGGGTAAGGGGGAGAGGCAGAAGCAGACCCCGCTGAGCAGGGAGTGGGACCCAGGGCTTGATCCAAGGATCCTGAGATCACGACCCAAGCTGAAGGCAGATGCCTAACTGACTGAGCCACACGGGCACCCCCTATATTGCTTTTTAAAGTGAAATTTAAAAAACAAAAAGTGATCTTTAAAAGATTTGTTAAAAATGAAGTCCAGTGGAATTGTGAGGTCATATCCCCCAGGAATAATTATTAAATCTGGTATGTCTCTTTGCCTAACCCTGCCCCCCCCCCTTGTTTTTTAAGATTTTATTTATTTATTTGACAGAGAGAGAGAGCGTGCACAAGCAGGGAGAGAAGCAGGGTCCGTGATCAGCGGGGAGCTAGATGCGGGGCTGGATCCTAGGACCCTGAGATCATGACCTGAGCTGAAGGCAGATGCTTAACTGACTGAGCCACCCAGGTGCCCCGAATACCCCTTCTTTTTTAAAAAATGGAAGAGGGAAAAAGGGAAGTAAGGAACCTTCCTGTAAGCATCCAATGTTAGTTTGGTTGAGATCTGTTTGGGGTCATTTGTCCTCCTCACATAAAAGAACCTCTGTTTGTAATACAGGAGACTTTTGTAAGAACTGGAATATAAAATGATGCCTCCTGGGGCACCTGGAGGGCTCAGCTGGTTGAGTGCTCGACTCGGTTTTGGCTCAGGCTGTGGTCTCGGGGCCCTGGGATCCATTACCACCACAGGCTCCGCACTCAGCAGGGAGTCTGCTTGAGATTCTCTCTCCCTTTCCCTCTGTCCCTCCCCCTGCTTGCACTCTCACTCTCTCTCTCTCTCTCTGTCTAAAATAAATAAAATCTTTAAAAAGATGCCTCCTTTATGAGGGATTATTTTGGGGGGCAAAACCTTGGTTTCTGTTTGGGTATTTTTTGTAGTTTTAATCAGATTAACTTGTTATTAAAAAGTAGAATTTCCAAGAGCTGTATTGCAAAGATGTTAGTTGCATGTTACTGTATGTGAGAATCGTTTTAACGTTGAGGTGCACATATACAAAAGTAATGATTCCGCTATGCCTTATTGGAAAAAGGGAAAAAAAAAACCGAACTTGTTAAGCTCTAGTAATACTGCATTTTTAATTGTCTGGGTTAGTAGAAATTTCCACCATAATTAGATAGTTTTTGAAGGATTATTCTCCCTTAGAGATTAACTTTTAAAATTTATTTTTTATTATTTATTTTTAAAGATTTTTAAAGATTTTATTTATTTGACAGAGACGCAGCGAGAGAGGGAACACAAGCAGGGGGAGTGGGAGAGGGAGAAGCAGGCTTCCCGCAGAGCAGGGAGCCTGATGTGGGGCTCGATCCCAGGACCCTGGGATCATGACCCGAGCTGAAGGCAGACGCTTAACGACTAAGCCACCCAGGAGCCCCTTAAAAAACTTCTTTAAAAAAGATTTATTTATTTTAGAGAGTGCGTGCATGTGGAGGGGGAGGTAGAAAAAGAGGGAGAGAAGTAGACACCGCACTGAGCGGTGAGCCTGATGCAGGGCTCCATCCCAGGTCCCTGAGATCATGACCTGAGTTGAAATTGAGTCTGAGCCACCCAGGCACCCCAAAATGTTTTGTTGTTTTTTTTAAAGTGAGCTCTATGCCCAAGGTGGGGTTTGAATTCGCAACCCAGAGATCAAGAGTTGCATGCTCTAATGACTGAGCCAGCCAGACACCCCTTAAAAAACTTTTTATGGGAAATTTCAAACATACTCAAATTAACTACTAGTGTTAGTAAATCCCCCAGGTGCCTGTCACTCAGCTTCAGGAGTTCAGATTAAATTTTAAATATGCTGCAATTTAAGTTATCTTACATCTTGGAAAAGATTCTTGTTTGGATATTTTTGTTATTCAGGAAAGGAGTAGCAGGAAGAAAATCTAAAGTAGGAAAGTATCATATGGGAAGTTCATAATTCATTAACATTTTTGTTACCAATATTTGTTTTCTTTTGGAGTATAGGTAGCGGTATGGAAGGTTAGTATAGGCAGTAGAAACAAAAAATGTTCCCATTTTAAGGAGATAATCAATTTATCCATCATGCTTCTTTGTAGTGAATTTTTCATTATGTGAATTGTAATATACAAATATTTTTAGTAAAAGAGCTTTGTAAGGCCTGTTGCTCAAGCCATCTGGTCCCTGTGGGTATAGATGGTTTCATTAACCAAAAGAAACCAGTCTTCTTTGCATGAGTTGAGATCCCTGTTTTTACTGTATTTCTCAAACCTGATTTGCATCCAAGTGACATGGGGACTTAAATACAGAGTCCTTGGGGACCTGTTGAATCACAATATCACAGATGAGGGTGGGGTAGCTTTAAAAAGCCCCCAGTTAGTTCTGATGTGAAGCTAAATTCAGGAGCCATTGCCTCATTTATTCTACAAATTAAATCATCAAATATTTATGAGCACAGTATGCTAGGCACTGTTGTTGGTGTCTGGGAGACACGAGTGAAGAAAATAAAAATTCCTGACCTTGAAAACTTCTGTTCTAGCAGGACTAAATTGATTTAATGTAATGTATGGCTGGTTTATCCATTTACTATTGCCAAGCAGTGGCTTAAACTAAATGTTTTATTTTGCTCTCAACTTTGTGAGTGAGGAATTCAGGAAGGTCTAGACAGGGCAGGTCTTGCTTGGGGGTCGGGGTGGTGTACTCTCATGCTTCTGAAACTCCAGTATCCCGGCAGGACGGGCAAGATGCTCGCTCACGTGGCCGGCAGTTGAGGCTGGCACCTACAGGTGACCTCTCGAGAATATGGAGGGCTTCAGGGTGGTCTGGCCTCTTCCCTGGTGGTTGGCTTCCCTGTGAGGAATAAGCTGACAGAACCAGGGGGAAGCCACAAGGCTGTTCGGACTGCTGCTGTGTTCTGCTGGCTACACCCAAGTCACTAGATTGGCCCAGGTTCAAGGGGAAGGGAGGGCTCACAACCCCACCTCTCAATGGGGAGTAATGTAAAGCGAATTTGCGGACACATTTTAAACCCACCATGACTATGTGGTTTTGCATTTGAAATGTTAGAGACATGTTAGAGTTGAGATATGTTGGGTGCTGCCTTTCTCTAAAATCCCCAGTACACAGTGTATTCTATCTAGTGAGAGCAGTTTTTCTCCAAAGGGATCATTCAGAAAGGGAGTACAGGTATGGCATCCCTTTAAGGATGATACTCTTTTTTTTTTTTTTTTTTTAAGATTTATTTATTTACTTTAGAAAGAGTGAGAAGAGTGCATGTGCGTGGCGGGGAGGGGCAGAGGCAGAGGGAGAGAGACTCTCATGCAGACTCCCCACTGAGCCCGCAGCATGACATAGGGCTCCATCCCACGGCCCTGAGATCATGACCTGCCGAAATCAAGAGTTGGACGCTCAACTGACTGAGCCACCCGGGCGCCCCTAAGGATTCTAAGTATTTTATATTTTCCAAATATTCTGCTATGGGCACACTTAACTTTAAAACCAGAATAAAAAAATACAGTTTAATTAAACAAACATAAAACTGGTTGTTTCCCAAGAAGGAAGGAAAACAGATGTCTTGCCATCTATATCATTAGCCGTAAGATGTCACAGACGAGTAACTATCCCCCTCTCCTACATAATAAATATAAAGTATTCTAAGACTTTGGTCACAAGTTTATTCCCTGAACCTCATACGACTGCCTATAGCTGTAATCTGGCTCACATTCTAGACATTATGAGGAAAGCAGGCAACAAAGTAATGAGCCAATGCAAAGCCTTCACCATGGCCAGAAAAACAAGGCAGAGTTTATGTTCTGCTGATGACTTGAGCATGAGAGGCCGTCTTCACACAGGAGGGCTCACCCATCGTTTGTTTTCTTTTCTGCAGCCTAAAGAAAGGGAGGTGGTGATAGAGCACTCCTCTTCAGGAAGTGACTGGTCTGACGTGGATGAGGTCTCCACAGTCAGATTCTCTCAGGAGGAGCCCAGCTCGCTGAAGCTCTCCACAGTTCTGGAGCCTTCTGCCTTCCCCACTGACTATGTCATGTACCCGCCTCATTTGTACAGTAGCCCGTGGTGTGACTACGCCAGCTATTGGACGAGCGGCGCCAAGCCTCCTGGCTACCCGGCCGTGGGCGGGGGCGGCAGCGGCAGCGACCCACTGCAGGCAGGGAGGGGCGGCCGGGCCCTCCTGAGTGATTGTTCTCCTAACTCTCCAGTGAGCTCCCAGAACACCTCCAGAGACCAGGAGGTGACCGAGGAAGGCAGATCCCAGAACGCTCGTTCATTTCGTTTCTCCAGAAGCTCAGAAGAAGAGGTGAAGGAGAACAGAGCGCTCCAGGAGGAGGCGCCACCCCGTCCCTGCGGAGGACACGCATCTAGCTCCCTGCCAAGGCACCATCGGGAGTCAGGCCTAGAGGAGGGTTTCATTGATACCCACTGTCACTTGGACATGCTGTATTCCAAGCTGTCTTTCAAAGGGTCCTTTACCAAGTTCAGAAAAATTTACAGCAGCTCCTTCCCTAAGGAGTTTCAGGGCTGCATCTCTGACTTCTGTGATCCTCGGACACTGACAGATTGCCTGTGGGAGGAGCTGTTGAAAGAGGATCTGGTTTGGGGAGCCTTTGGCTGTCATCCTCATTTTGCGCGTTACTACAGTGAGAGTCAAGAGAGAAATCTTCTGCAAGCATTAAGGCACCCCAAGGCTGTGGCATTTGGGGAAATGGGCTTGGATTACTCCTACAAGTGCACCACGCCTGTCCCGGAACAGCACAAGGTAATGCGGCTCTCCTTCGTTTGCTCACGGTTTCAATTCCTCTGTCAGTTGTTGAACCTAACAATAAAGGTTTCTCTACTTTCAGATCTAGAGAATTTAGAACCCTTAAAAATATAATTGCTCTTGTCCAGACCATCAAAATGTCACTTGTCAAATGCTTCACCAACTATTTCTTTATTATGTAGGAGAGGGGGGTAGTTACTCGTCTGTGACCTCTTACGGCTAATGATATAGATGGCAAGACATCTGTTTTCCTTCCTTCTTGGGTAACAACCAGTTTTATGTTTGTTTAATTAAACTGTATTTTTTATTCTGGTTTTAAAGTTAAGTGCGCCTATAGCAGAATATTTGGAAAATATAAAACTGTGTAATGAAGAGAATTTCCCATCCCACCAGCGATGGCAACTACTATTTTTTGAGCATGGACATTTGGCAAGGGAAGGGTGGTTCCAGCATTTCAGTGGAAGTTTCTGATTTGGGAAGGAGCAGGACGAGGAGAACGACCCTCCCACCCTGTCACTGCTCACACTGCCAGGTTGCCTTTGTTCTAGAATTTGTTGTGTGCAGTCGTCCGCCGATGCCTGGTAGGCTGGGTCTGTGTGCCCAGTATGCTCCAGGCCTCGGCGAGCAGGTGCATGGATGGCAGGGGGCAGACAGAATTTGGCAAGTTGGCTTTCCCTTTGGCGCTGTCCCCAGCCCAGTTGGGTCAACCTCTGCTGTATACTGATGCTGGGCCCCATCGCTCCTGGCATCTGTGGTTAATTGTAAATTAAAAGAGGGGAATCTTCTAGAGGCAAAGATTTTTCTTTTTTTTTTTTTTTTTAAAGATTTTATTTATTTGATAGAGAGAGACACAGCGAGAGAGGGAACCACAAGCAGGGAGAGTGGGAGAGGGAGAAGCAGGCTTCCCGCCGAGCAGGGAGTCCGATGTGGGGCTCGATCCCAGGACTCTGGGATCATGGCCTGAGCCAAAGGCAGACGCTTAACGACTGAGCCACCCAGGTGCCCCGAGGCAAAGATTTAATTTTCCCTTGACCAAAGAGAAAATTCAGAGAGTGTGTGGTACTCTTCTGACAAAGCAGAAGACTCTACTAGATCTTTATATGCCTTTAGGAGACGGAGATTCCAATTTGCATACAGTTGTCCATGGCAACCAATAGGCACGCAAGGCTTTTTTTTTTTTTTAAGATTTTATTTATTTACTTGACAGAAACACAGCGAGAGAGGGAACACAAACAGGGGGCGTGGGAGAGGGAGAAGCAGGCTTCCCACAGAGCAGGGAGCCCAGTGTGGGGCTCGATCCCAGGACCCTGGGATCATGACCTGAGCCGAAGGCAGACACTTAACGACTGAGCCACCCAGGCACCCAACTAGGCACGCAAGGCTTAACAGTTAATTTACATAAGAAACAATTTCAGGTGTTCAGATGCTTCGGAATCTTCGGATCTCTTTTATTTTATGTTTAAAAAGATTTTTATTGGGCGCCTGGGTGGCTCAGTTGTTAAGCAACTGCCTTCGGCTCAGGTCATGGTCCCAGGGTCCTGGGATCGAGTCCCATATCGGGCTCTCTGCTCTGCGGGGAAGCCTGCTTCTCCCTCTCCCACTCCCCCCGCTTGTGTTCCCTCTCTCGCTGTGTCTCTCTCTGTCAAATAAATAAATAAAATCTTTAAAAAAAAAAGATTTTTATTTATTTGAGAGAGAGTGTGAGAGAGAGAGCACGAACAGGGGGAGGTGTAGAGGGAGAGGGAGAAGGAGGTTCCCCACTGAGCAGGGAGCCCGATGCTGGCTGATCCCAGAACTCTGGGATCATGACCTGAGCCGAAGACAGACGCTTAACCGACTGAGCCACCCAGGCGCCCCCAGAAGGATCTCCAGATGAGTTCTCTAGGACCTGTTGAGGTTACTAAATTTGGAACAGGATGATTTTGACTTGATATACTTTCACACAGGTAGGTGGGATTTTATTTGTGTGAATGTTTCCAGTTTACTTTATCTAATGAGTTCTAGTGTAAATAGTGTTTCTGTTCAGAATTAGGTTTGTCTTACACATTCACACAACCTCTTGCCTGTCCAGAGTTCCCTTTCACTACTAATACTAGGAAGCTTGAGTTTCTGGCTTGAGGTGGTCATTTATTAGTCAGAAGTGAATGGAAAAATAGCTAAATTTGAAGACCTAGTGAACAGATTTTTAAGAAACTGGAAAGAATATTTAGTATTCAGCTTTCCTGGCTTGTTTCTCTGGCTCAAGGCAGGTGTGGTATGGAAAGAAGGACAGTTGAGAAATGGATGCACTGAGGCCACTGGCAGGAGGAAGGGCCTTGTATTTAATTGTATAGATGGTGTTTATGGAATGCCTGCCGTGTGCCAGGAAATGTGCTGAGTATTTCACAGTAACTTTTTCCTTGATTAAGTTGTTACGGTATCAGATCTGCATATAGAGGCACATAGGGCACGCCGCACCACAGACTGAACTGGAAGTTATCGCAGAGGGTGGTGAATAAAATCTTGTGGCTCTCCCCTGGCTTGGTGAGATAGGACTCAGGATTGGAAAAGGGGGATTCAGAGGAAAGAAATTGCTGGCAGCAGGAGGGCAGGACCCCTGCTTGTGCACTCTCTCTCTCTCTCTGACAGATAAATAAATAAATAAAATCTTAAAAAGAGAAAATGGAATCTCTGGCAGCCTCCTGCCTCTGTAGGGGTCTGCGGAGGGCAGGTGTGCTAGGAGGGGATCCAGCCAGCTGTAGATACTGGAACTAGCCCAGCCTTAAAGCCTCTACCAAGCATTCTAAGATTTTGGTGTCAGTGGCCTTTTTCTTTCTGTTGAAAACACAGGTTAAACAAGAATGACATCAGAATTGTTACTGGCTCAGTGCCACTCTTTGGAGAAGAGGTAGCACAAGCGTCAGACTTGAAAATGTCATTCTCAAGTGAATATCACAGGGCTTGAAGTACCGGCAGTATTTTATTTGATGTCAAAAATGCAAGCATGGATTATATTCCACAGTTGAAAACTACTCATGGAAACATGAAGTTTAAGATGAGCTCATTTGTTTATAATGAATTAATACTTGTGTTCTTCTAAAGCTGAACTTGTTAGAGGAAAGAAGTCCTAGCGCCCCCTTTTTTAAAAAATTTATTTTTATTCATTTTTTTAAGATTTTATTTATTTGACAGAGAGAGCAGGAGCAGGAACACAAGCAGGGGGAGTGGGAGAGGGAGAAGCAGGCTTCCCGCAGAGCAGGGAGCCCGATGTGGGGCTCGATCCCAGGACCCCGGGATCATGACCTGAGCTGAAGGCAGATGGTCAACGACTGAACCACCCGGGCGCCTTCCTAGCCCCTTTTTCATTTAAATTATTAACAATATGTGTATTTTACTAGTGACTTGCTTTTTTTTTTTTTTCTTAAAAAATATACTCTACTCAGTCGGTAGAGTATGCGCCTCTTGATCTTGGGGTTTTGAGTTCAAGTCCTATGTAGGGTGTAGAGATTACTTAAAAATAAAATCTTAAAAAAAAAAAAGAAGAAAGTTAAAAAATGGAAGGTAGCGTATCAGTAGGTATTCACCTAGAAGGGTATCAGATTTTGGTTGAGTAAAGAAAGTAAGTTGGAGAAAATATGTAATTTCCATTCTTTCAAGTATTTGAGCACCTTCCGAGACCCAGGTATTGTGCGAATGTGTGAGTGTGTGTGTGCGTGTGTGTGCGCGTGCACACACACAACTCTTTGGAAAATGTGTGGAAGGTGATTACCTTTTGGGAGTAGGAGTAGAGGTGGGGACAGTGAGGGGAAGAACATGTAAGTCGAACTTTATGTTCCTGAGCCCTGCCCTGAAAACCCACATAAGCATGGCATGGTGGTTGCCATGTGTTGTGCCCGGGTTCCTGTTTGAATTGTGGTGCTCCAGCTTACCAGCTGCAGATTACTTGACCCCTCTTGGAGCCTCTTTTTCTTGACTGCATGGTGGGCCAACAGCAGTAACCTACCTTGGGGCGCCTGTGAGGGTCATGTTAGTCATACACCGAGAGTGCTCTGAGCACTACCTGTAGTGAGGACCCCGTAAGTGTGGGCTATTATTGTAATACATTACATAGTCTGCAGAATTGGAGACCGTGGGGGTGCCTGTTGGCTTGGGTGTTGTGGGGCTGTAACAGACTTCTGACGTGGCTCTAACAGGCGTCCCCTTGCCTTCTCCCAGGTGTTCGAGAGACAGCTGCAGCTGGCCGTGTCTCTGAAGAAGCCCTTGGTGATCCATTGCCGAGAAGCTGATGAAGATCTACTGAACATCATGAAAAAATTTGTGCCCTCGGACTACAAGATCCATAGGTTAGAAGGCTGGAGCTTTGGTGGGCAAATGAAACAAGCACTTCTTTCTGTGTAGGACATTAGTTGGAAAAAGGAAAACCCAGTGAGGAGAAGATGATAGTATTCAGTCTTTGTGATGTAGTATCTTCTCTAAAGATTAAGTATTAGGTTGAACCATATGAAATTTCTGATTTTAACCATTTATTACTAACAAAATGGCGATTTCATACGGTTTGAGCTAATATCCTAAATTAGTGGTGAGCAAGAAGGGGACTTTTGTGACCCTCATCCCTGGTGGCAGGCTAAAATGAAGTCTGAGTGCTCCGAAATGAGGGCTCTTGATCTGGGGAGAGGCCACTGTGTTGTGACTTAGCGTGCAGATATCATTCCAGGGCACCTACAAAGAAGTTCTTTGCTTTTCTGAATTTGAAAGTTCATTTCCCCCCATGAAAATTCAGTATGTGTTTAATCTTAATTGTATCCAGGGGCTCTTAAGTTCGGTGTGGTAAACTCTTGATCATCTACTGTGTGCCTGTCATGGGTGTTGGCTCAGGGCCCCCGGGAGCAGCTGTGGGAGGCAGATGACTCATCTGGTGCAGAGCCCGGGGCCTAGGTGGGCATAAGGTGCTGTGGGAGCCAGAAGAGGGGCCATTAGCTTAGCTTTGCTGGAGAGGGGCCAGGAGGTAACGCCTGGGCTGGCTTTTTCAAGATGGGTGAGATGGGTTAACTGAAAAAAAAAAAAAAAAAAAGAGTCTAGGACCCAAACCAGGTGTTGATGGGCAGCAGAAGGCGGTGGACTGTCAGGCCAGACTGCTCCCTTTCAGGTGCCCAAGCAGAGAGCATGACCTCTCTGACTGGTAGCGCATACCAGAGATGAGATACTGTCCCTTGGCTCTTCAGGGTGGGTTGGTTGGTTTCTCATGGCTTTGTTTTGGGATGTCTTTGAAGGAAATCTCATGGGGGCAGGTAAACCAGGGCTTAGACGGCTCAATGAAGTGTTGTGGCTGGAGGAAGCCATGCATTTTCAGATTGGTTAACAATATGTCGTGTACTAAGAACATGAATAGTTACCAAACAGAGAAGATTCCCCTGTAGTCCCACTCCCTAATATCGTCCCTTTTTTGTTTCCTTCCAGTCCATTTGACTGCAGAAACATAATTTTTACCTATTGTAATTGTGATCTTGGAGGGGCCACAGGCTTTAATTCTGCTTCTCTTGTGTTACAAGCGTACCCTGGCCCTGTATTGTTCTCTGTTCCCTGTGGGGATCACTTGAAGTGCCTGTATAGGATTTGGCGCTCCGATGGGTTGACTGCTGAGCTTCAGTCACCAAGAGTCACCTTGGGTCTTACTGTGTTGGAACCAGCTCTTGTCTGGTTCCTGTGGAGTCCTTCACTTGGATGTAGTCGTTGTGTTTCTGGGAATTTGTCCACAGAAGAGAATTTGAGAGGGGAGTTGGGGGCTGTTGCAGAGGGCGCTGTGAGAGGGGTCCTGACCTGGAAACCCTCCCCTCCCCCCACCAGGCACTGCTTCACCGGCAGCTACCCGGTCATTGAACCCTTGCTGAAGCACTTCCCCAACATGTCTGTGGGCTTCACAGCCGTCCTGACTTACTCTTCGGCCTGGGAGGCGCGGGATGCTCTGAAGCAGATCCCGCTGGAGAGAATCATCGTGGAAACGGATGCTCCCTACTTCCTGCCCCGACAGGTAGGGGTGTCATCAGGCTGAGTTGAGGTGGGGGTGGGGGGGAGGGGGCCGGTCACCTTTGCAAGGTTGGCAGGGCCAGAGCCCCATTGACTTCCAGGTCTCCCCCTTGGCTGTGTAGATGTCTCCTTGTTGTGGCTCTGCAGAACCAAAAGTCTAGGGGGCTGAGAAGCTGAAGGGTAACCACTCTCTTCCAGGCAGTGCAAAGCCCTACCCTGTAGAGGGTAGTCCAAGGAAGCGTGGGACCCTGCTCACCCAGAGCCCCCCATGACTAGGACTCTCCCTGCACCTGCAGGTAAAGGGGTCTCTACAGGGCAGCCCCAAAGAGGTCCTTGCTGGGGAAGGGCAGGGAGGGGGATCTGTGTCATGGCTGTGCGCAGAAGGCACAGTGATGTTCTGAATGCTTGATGTCTTCCAGGTTCCCAAAAGCCTCTGCCAGTACGCCCACCCAGGCCTGGCCTTGCATACCGTTCGAGAGATTGCGAGGGTCAAAGATCAGCCGCTCGCGCACACCTTGGCCACCCTGCGTGAGAACACCAGCCGCCTCTACAATCTTTAAGCAGAGCGGGTGCAGTCCGGAGAAAAAGGTCAGACTAGAAAAAGGTCATAAAAATCACATTATAGGTTTTTATAAAAATCAGGACAAAAATAGGTTTCTCTGCATTTTCTTACTGTAGAGAATGTGAACATAGAGTGAGCATTAAGCCTGATCTGTCTTGAGTGAACTTGGTTTGGGACCTTCTTCCTTTTCTCTTCCCACCCCTCCAGGACAACCGGTGGCCTGACAGAAGATGGGTCCCAGGTCAGGGAGGTGTCTGGAGAGCCTACTGGAATGAAGAAAAGCAGGACAGGATGTTTGCCTACTTGGAGCTGGTCGGTGGGGTGGGGTGCAGCGGAGCGGGATGCTGGTGAAGGGTTACCCCCAGGGCAGTCAGTGGAGAAGGAAGAGGCCGAAAGGAGGGCGCAGCACGTCTGTCAATCCTGATCCCCATGCTCTGCAGCCTGCGGTTTTGAGCAGTCTTCACAGACACCCTCCTCCTCGTCTGAGCACATGTGGGTGTGTAACTTGGCTCCTGGTGGTTCTCGGTTCTAAAAATGAACTCCCAAGTGGGAAACCTCCTCTGGGGGACGTTGGCTGGAGCCCCATCTCGGAGGTTTCTGGTCCTGCCACCGCGAAGTCCTCCCCCACCTTCCTGGGACGAGTCTTCAGTTCGGCTGCCCCGTTGGCGTGTCGGCTCCGCTTGGGCATGGGAGGAAGACCTCGGCTGCTGGCCTTGCTCGTTCCACTGCCAGTGGTATGGAGGGGCTGGGGCCGCTCATTGGCCGGGGAGTCCTGGCCGATGGGGATGGGACAGACTGGGGGACTCGAGGAAGAGGACCCCAGACAAGGGGTTTCTGCTTACTGGTGCCCCCAGGGCTGCAGCTCGCTTGTGTTAGACTGAGAACGGTCCAGTTTGCAGCAGATGTGACCTCCTACTCTGCTGTCAGGGGCTCCCAGCTGCCCGTTGGTCCATTTTTGCCCCATTCCCCTGGAGCACTGGACCAAGAATATTTCTGTTTCAACCCATGTGACAGCCCCCTGTGTGCCCCACCCAGGTTGAGAGGTAAACCAATTTAATTCTTCAAAACTCTGCTGGGGCTGCTTAGCCCCGGTCTCCGGCCTGTGCAGAGCAAGCAGGCCCGGTGTCTGCCTTCCAGTCCCCTCCCGGGGCTCTCCCTTGCCTTGGCCTCGTCCGTGTCCTTTCTCCGTGTTGGAAGTGGGAGGCTCTCCTTTGACTTTTGAGCAGTTGGGTCATCAAGTTCTAAGCTCTGTTCTGTTCCCTGCTGGTATATCTGTTACAAGCCCTGGAAGGTTATGGTCGGGGGTTAAGTGTGAGGACACTCTGCACTTTGTCCAAAAGGATCCTTTACCTAGAGCTCCCACAGTGAGACAGGACACCCTGAGTCCCTTGTCTGTTTCTTGGAGGCCAGAGGCTTAAATCGTAAGACCCATCCCTTAATGATGGATTTCTCTAGGTGTTTTCAGAAGGTGCATTTGAGCCTTGTAAGTGAAAAGGGAATGGACTCAATATTTCCTCTCTGGTATTTCCGTCTCGCCCCGGTACACCCGTCACTGGCCTGGGAAGTAGGCCCTGATTCACGTTCGACCTTCCATGGGTCAGCTGTGGGTTGTCTGTGCCTCCCGTTCGCCAGTGTGGGGAGTCGGGGGCTTGTTCTCCTGCTTGGAGGAATCGGAGGACTGAGTGTTTCAGAGTGCTTTATTGTCACCCCAACGGACTGCAGCCTGTCCATCCCCTTCACCACGAGCCCCGGACGTTAATACTGCCCACACCAGCAGCGGATGGGCCTGCGCTGGAGGGTTCGGGGGGAGGACTGAGTGGATGTCCCCGAGCCTGTGTGGCCTCCCTGCCAAGGTAAAGCACAAGGTGCTATATACTTTCACCTCTAGGATTTAAGATGGTCATTTCTGTGTGTCACACAGTGAAACACGACTTGTGTGGGTGCGAAAGCCAGTGGGCATTGTTTTTGATTCGATTTTTGGCTGGCTGACGTGATTGTGTTTGCTGTGCTGCCGGAATGCCTCTGTATCTCCCCCACCCCCTGCCCCTTTTGGCCATCTCTTTCTGAAAATAAAGTGATTGGTCTTCAGCCAGCTCCTGTGCTCTCCGTGTTTGGTCAGATTTCTCAGAGTGATGACAACAAGTTGTTGTAACCTGAGAATCCAAAGGTCTGGAGAAATTCTTGAGTGTACATATGTCTCTGCAAAATTAAAGTGGTAATAATACATGGTACCTTCTTACAAGTTCGGCCGCCCTTGAGCATTAACCCATTTCTTGCCTGGAACTCGGGAGTAAGTACTTAGGTCTTTTCTTTCCTCTTCCTTTCCCCCCCACACCGCACTGCGGTGGGAAAAATATGGCACACAAGGGTGGTATTGACTGAATCCGTTGTCTCGAGGGGAGGCTCTGGACCGTGAGCTTCTCTGACGTCTCTGGGCAAACTTGGGGGAAGCCCCGGGTCACTACTTGAGGTCGGTCCTTTCATTTTGTGCTAAGGTATTAATGAACACCGGTGCACAAACTGAAAGTAAACCTGGGAAAAGGAAGGCTGTGTTCCAGGAATGCTAAAGAAATCTGAAACCAGAGTCGATACATTGTCGAGACCCCATCATTGATGGTATATTTTCAGCAAAATCCTGTCACTTTGTCTCTTCCATTCCTTCCCAGGTGAGCACGCAGTTGACTGCATCTGCTTGGTGATGGTCTTATTTGTGGCTAGAAATCTGCTGCTCTCGGCTTTTCCGGTGCTTCCGTCTTTCTCTCTGTATTAAGCTTGGGAGCAGTTACTAACTGTTTACCGTGAGCACTTGGATGTTTGTGTCACTGAGTTGTATAAAATCAGGGCACAGGGCCCCTGAGGTACACGGCGCTGGAACAGACTGTCCCCCAACAGAGACGGTGCAGGTGTTCATCGGTGACTGGCCAGCCCCCCAGTCACACTGAGCACTCCTTTGTCAGTGATGGCCGGGGGTGTATTCAGATTAGGAAGCTAGCTCGGCGTGGGTCTCCATTCTTAGGGTTGCACACTGTCACAGGAATTTCTGAGCACACACCTGTAAGTGTATAATCAGTTAAATACATATGCTGCTGTACTGTGTACTAGGTATATTATGAAACACCAAAGTTTCTTATTAGAATTTTTTTCTCCAGCAAGTATCTCACTCCCCACAGGGGTAAATATACCCTGTTTCAGAGAAACTTAAGTTAGTGGCGTCATTAAATGAAGCATGGAGGTCTGGGTTTAAGAAAGCTCACATGGGGGGGTGCCTGGGTGGCTCAGTCGGTTAAGTGTCTGGCTTTTGATCTCCCACTCAGATCTTGATCTCAGGGTTGAGTTCAAACCCCATATTGGGCTCTGCGCTGGGCAAGGAACCTACTTCAAAAAAACAAAAAACTGACATAGGACCATGGTTGAAATGCTACATTTTTTCAAGTGTTTCCTTTGCTAAATTTTATTTCTCTCAGTCACCCCACTCCAGGTTGACCCAATGGATAATGAAGGAAAATGAGAAACAAAAGCAGCCCTTTGGGTTGTGGGGCAAGGGAAGCAGTGACTGAGAGGCACAGACTGAAGTACGTAGCTCTGGAGAGGAGTCTGCACCATATTTGCTGTGTAACTTTGGAAAGTGACTTAATTTCTCGGAAATTCGCTTTCCTCCCTCTTCAGCGGGCTTGTTGTGGAAATTACCTGAAACTACGCTGATGACATGTCCATTGTGGAACAGCGCCCGGTGCGCAGCAGGAACACGGTGGTTAGAAGAATCGAATGCCTCCTATGTGCCTGGTGTCCGTGTTCAGTCTTGACAGTAACCCAGGGAGGCAGGTGTTTTATGTGTGAGGAGCCTGAGAAGTTCAATGTCTTGGTAGGGAATTCAAATTTGGGTCTGAGTCTGAAGCTCCTAGCTTTTTATCCCATCATGCTCCCTGGCCCAGGTGAGAGTACCTGGGTGAGAGTGGGTGCTCAGCATCTATTTCTTACAGGAATGACCCAGGCAAGTCAGAGAGAATGCTGGTGAGTCCTTTGAGCGAGAGGAATAAGTCCTTGTCTTTGCTGGGGGAAGCATCAGGTGACCAGCATTCCCCTCAGGGCCTGTCACCCATCCTGCCCGGAGCGCAGTATGTGCCTGCTACTTCACTGGGTCACAAGCTGGCTCCCCAAATCACTGTGACCACACGTGGGTCTTGGGTTCTCCTCTGGCTATTGAGAAGTGGGCTGTGGGCCTGGTTAGTGATGATCAGAGTAGCAGCCGTACCAGGCGACAGAGCCGGGCTGTGGCTAAGCTCCAGGACGGCGTGCTGGTCTGCGTCAGTGCTGGGTGCTGGCCGTCTGGGGGCTGAGGAAGCTCCTTTCCCTCCACTTCTACTGCCCTTCTCCCTCTTCCCTCCCTTCCCCCACTTAGTTCACCTCTTCTCCAGTACCTTATGTTTTTTTTTTTTAAAGATTTTATTTATTTATTTGAGAGAGAGAGAATGAGAGAGCACATGAGAGGGGGGAGGGTCAGAGGGAGAAGCAGACTCCCCGCCGAGCAGGGAGCCCGACGCGGGACTCGATCCCAGGACTCCAGGATCATGACCTGAGCCGAAGGCAGTTGCTTAACCAACTGAGCCACCCAGGCGCCCGTATCTTACGTTCTTTAAATGGTTAATGAGGCCTTTCAGTCTTACAGCTGAGGCTTAGAGGTAGAAGCTTTCAGAAGCAAGGGCTTGGTGAGCGAAGTCCGAGTGTGGTCATATAGGCAGTGTATAGATATCTGAGAGATGCAGGTGTGGGGGGCAGACATGAGGGATGGACGTGTGGTTGACAGCTAGGCTGGGGCTAGAGAAATGGGGGAAGGTGAGTGAGAGTAATGTTTTCTCAGTTTTGTTGATGGTGTCACCTGGCCAGGTCTGAATTTTCTGTTTCCTATGGGAGTCGACACCTGTTCCATGCCAGGCAGCTAATCCGGTTCTGCCCTGTGCTGTGCTGCCTGAATTGAGTAGGATCCAGTTGCCTCTCAGCCACTTTAAATAAGCCATTTATCAGCCTGCGGATCTCGTTAAAATGCAGATCCTGATATAGTAGGGCCAGGCTGGGGCCCAAGATTCTGCATTTCTTTCTTTTTTTCTTTCTTTTCTTTTCTTTCTTTCTCTCTCTCTTTCTCCCTTCCTCCCTTCCTCCCTTCCCTTCCCTTCCCTTCCCATTTTCCCGATTTTCCCGATTTGTTTATTTTAGAGCGAGAGAGCGGGTGTGGGGGGAGGGGCAGGGGTGGAGCGAGAATCCTGAGGCAGACTCCCCGCTGAGTGCGGAGCCCTACAGGGGCTCGATCTCCCCACCCCTACACCACGACCTGACCCGAAACCAAGAGCCAGGCCTCTTAACCCAGGCGCCCCAAGATTCTGCATCTCTAAGACATTCTCTGATGCTGGTGACTTTGGTGCTCTTTGCTGGGGGCCGGCGGCTGGGTGTCGACGTGCCTGCCAAGTGTGGTCAGTGCCAGGTGACCAGAAGTTTACCTGAGAAGAGACGTGGCTCCTGTAGCCCTCTGACCAAGGCTTTTCCAGGGTGTGCGTGTTACCCCGGCTCTGCTGAGGGCTGGCCTGCATGTTTCTGGTAGGTAGTCACGTGTCTGGATTGGCAGTGCTTATGTTTGGAGCCTCCTTAGTCTTTTCTGTTTTCTTTTTTCTCCTTTGTGGTTCACCCATCATCTGTCATCACCAGTTTCTTAGCAACCGGTTCACACGTTTGTGCTCAAGTGTAAATCACTCATAACTGACCTTCCTCCCAGGAGGGCTGGTATCTTTAGTGGAACTGAGTTGTGGACGTAAGGATCAAGGCTCAATTCAGTTGTGCGCTGGAGTTGGCAGTCTTTAGGGACAGCTCCCTGGTATCGATAAGTCACCAAGGCAGTGCCCAGCCTTGCCCACACGAGGTGGCATCTGCTTTGCCATGTCTTTTCAGTAGTGGACAAGGAGGAGGGAGAAGTGGTTATTTCAGCCCTGTCTAGCCGTGGCCGGTATACTTACGTGTAACTTCAGACTCACGCTTTGGCATTCCCAGGATCCTGTTGGGATCGTGCGTATCCGTTCAGTGGATGTTGGCTCTGATGATGTCACCTGAAGTTTGTTGGTCCAGAGTCCTTGCTGATGGTTACTAAGCTCTCATTGTAACTTCACTGTGCTTCGGAAGCTGTGATATTTACAAGAACTGTCTTCTTCTCCCATCCCCCGCTCCCTTCCTTTCTTGGTTTCCTAAGCATGCATACCTGCCTTACTACATGTCCTTCTTTTTTCTCTTCCCATTGACCATAGTTTAAAAAAATTTTTTTTTCAGTGAAATGTGAAATTTTCATCTTTGGTGAAATAAATTTCTCCTTTAAACATTCGGCATACGGTTTGAATGTTTATTCACCTCTTAAACTAGTACCACTCAGAACTGGAGTGGTTGCAGAAACAGTGTAAAAGTGGGTGAGTGCTTCTAAGGTTGGGAGGAACACAGGCGGGCCGGTCTTGTGGATGATCACTCGTCTGCCAGGGCCTCTGAAAAGCAAGAGGCCAAGTCAAAATTCAGAGTCTGCCCTCCCGCCAGGGCCGTGGAAGATGGCTTTTCTTCCACAGTGGTGATGTTGGAGGTGGTGCGTTGTAATGCTGGGGGAGGGTCACGTATTGGCCTTGGGAGTGTGCACTGTGTGACTTGGGCTCGTCACCTGAAAGCTGAGTGTTGGTTTCCTTATCGGCACTGCTGCTTGAGTGCCCTGTTCTGTCTACCTCACGTGGTGGGTGGGGTGCAGAGTGGGGCCATGTGGGTTAGGGAAGTGCTTTGCAGGTGGTCGGGTGCTTCCAAAGGCAGGCGTTTGCCCCTGATCAGGAGCAGATTGGATGGTTTCTTTTTACATGGCAAGAAGGGAGTCACAACAAAACCTAGAAACCTTTGCTTAATTCTGATGGTAGCACTAATTCCTTTTGTTTGTGAAGTAAAGTTATCCAGTAAAAGTACTTAACATCAAATAATTTTATGCTCTCACAGTGGGTGTTAGCTCCATTTTATCTTTAGGAAATTGGGGTTCCCTGGGGCCCCAGAGGTCGTTAATGTGCTAGTTCTTAGAGCATAGAGCATTCTTGGAATACGAAGACTTGCTCACGCCTCTTCCAAGCCACTCAAGCCCGCTCTCTGGCAGACATTTGGGAAGGGAATTAGAAGCTTTTTGAGAGGCAGGGGTAGGGGAAGAAAATCTCTCTTGTGTCACCCATAGTCTGGGCTCCCATTTGGGACTCCAAGGAAGCTGAAGTGACCTGACTGGGGCAGGGACTTACCGTTGGCCTCTTCCCAGAGGATGTCCTGAAGAAATTTCCCCAGGGCCTGGCTGTGCTGGTGGTACTGAGCCCCCGACAGCTTGATTCCGACATCAAAGGGGACGTTGAACTAGGAGGAGGGGCAGGGAAGACCCAGGAGGTGTCAGAGGTCACACCCTCCCAAACACCCTCCCAAAGGAGGCCCTGGGCTCTCAGGGTGTCAGCATGGGGCAGGGAGGGTGCAGGGCCTGGGGCCCAGCACGCACCCTTGCGGGACAGCTCAGCCAGCTTACTCTGCCTTCTTAGGCCTGTTCTTCCTGCCCCTGCCATCTTGAGGAGACTTAGCTTGCACTCTTTCCTTCCCTCTAGTGAGGTTGCTCACAGAAGCCGTGGGGCTCCCCGGGTTGCTCCCACTCCCTTCCCCTTGTAATTTTGGAAGGCATAAGGCAGAGTCGCCAAGGTAGAATTTCAGGGTCCGGTGGGGAGGGACACTGGGGGGACAGTGGGTCTCCCCAGTGTCATAGCGCTAGCCTGGGTGATGGTCTCTGCCCCTCCACTGCCCCCACCCCCTCTCGCAGCTGTTCTTCCCGTCCTGGGCACAGGCCTTTCCTTGTTCCATGGAAAGTCAGATAAGAAGCTGACCTTTCCCTGGAAAGATGCTCTGAGCCAAGTGCTTTCTTCTTTCTGTGCCTCTGTCTCTTCCCTCCTACAGGGAGAGCACCCCACTTTCCCTCCTTTCTCAGCACTCTCGGAGATGGTTTATTGAAGCTTAGAGCTTTGGGAAAATGGGAAGAAGCTCTCTTTGCAGCCATATTATGGTTTTCACCCCTGGAGGGCAGACGGTATCTTTTCCTCCGTTCTTCCAGTAGCTGCCTCGGGACCTGGTACCTGCGTGCTGGTCACGGTGATGTCTGAACGAGTCACTGAAGGAATCTTGGTGCTGGGAGGGAGCCTTCAGTCATTGGTCCTTGTGCCCCCTGTCCTCCCGGCAGGACTTGCCCAAGGCTGCAGGGGGGTGGCGGCCAGGGACTAGACTGCAGGACTTCCATCGGCCAGCCTGGGAACCTCTTCTGGTCCCGGGCCCCTCCGTCCGCCAGGCCTGGCCAAGGCCTTGCCTCCACGCTGGGGACAGTCCCCGGGCCTCCCAGCCCGGCCAGTACCACTGTCCTTCCTATTTCATACGTGAGCAAATGGGCTCCAAGAGGTTATGGAGAAAACAAATAGCTCCTTGTTCCCTTTCAAACACTTACCTTCTTCCTGGTCTCCATGGGGAAGGTGGAGGGAGTGGGGAATGACCTGGCTGGGTTTTGAGGGAACTCCGGCCCTTCAGGTCCCTCCTGTCAGCAACTGCTCCTTTTTCCTCCCCGCTGGGGCTGGCCTGCACAGACTTCTCGGGAACCACGTGAGCCCCAATCTGGGGGCCTGCTGGCTGCTCCAGCACCCTGGAACTGAGTGGCAGGGGCAGGGGACAGGCAGCTGGCAACTTCTGGGGCGGAGGTTTGCTTCTGGGGACTTGAAAAGGCCCGTTTGGCCCCAGTGCCTCATCCGTTCAGTCGGGGATGGGGGCGGGGGGGAGGGATAGGGCTTGGTCTCAGAAGTCTTCCAGCTGTGGAAGTTGATTTCGGGAGGACCACGTCTGGGGGAAGGTGGAGGGCCCAAGAGGGGAGAGGTGGAACCCCAGCGCCGGAGGGGCTTAGGCAGTGTGTCCAGAGCCCCGCAGCCAGGGGGTGGGCCTCCCCGCCTCTGGCAGCCCCCGTGCCTCCCAGACAGCTCAGACTTCGGGTTCTAGTGGAGGTGGTATAGGCCGTGACCTCCGAGGCCAGCCTTCCTGGGAACTGGAAACTTCTGGTTGTCCCAGCCCCACCTTGAGTCAGCAAGGTCCTGAAACCCCTTCCCTGTCTGGGCAGACTGAGAGCTAGCCCGGCTCGGGTGAGTGCCGGCTGCCTAGGGCTGGAGCTCCCCAGGCAATTCTCTGGTTTTAGTTTGAGGATTTGCAGGAATCGAATGGGAATGTGGTGGGCTGGGGATCTCACACATGGTGGGGTACGCATCCAAGGACACCCCTAGGTTCTGGTGAGCGTCGGAGAGAGCGTGGGTTGATAGAAGAGGCTGGTGGGTAGGGAGTGAGGCCAAGGCAGGATGCCCTTCAGCTTCTCAGGCCAGAAGAGACAAGTGGGGGTGCTCTTGGTACAGGCCAGTGAGGGGAAGGGGGGCTCGGGAGCTGGAGTCAGCCCTGACCTCGGGCCCCACCTCTGCCACACACTGACTGTGGCACCTCAGGCATGTGAGTTCATCTGTCTGAACTTCTGTTCCTCGTATGTGAAATGTCAGACCTACTTACTGCACAGGTTGTTGTAGAGACTAAATGGTGTATGATAAGGGGGAGAGAGTGTGTAAATGCAGCCTGGGTCCGTGGGCGCAGGCAGTCCCCTGGGGGAATTCTGGTGTCACCGCATGGAGATGTCTGTTGCCACCGGAGCCATTCCCTGAACCACGGCCCGCCTTCCAGGAAGTCCCTTCCCCCCTCTCTGTCCTCATCTCCCCCTTTATTCCCAAACATTCTCCTTGCCCTATGCAAGATTTGTAGGAGCCCAAACAAGCCCGACTGATCCTGTCTTGTCTGCAGATGGGGACGGTGAGTGGCCGCTGGGCTACCGCTGTCTGGCCTGACAGAGTGCCGTCCAGGTACGCTCCTGCCCCGGGTGAGGTCGGAGAGGCCCCTGGGCCAACCAGACCGTTTTCTGTGGGGAAACATCCTCAGCCTGTCTGTCTCTTGGCACCATGTTTGCTGACTCTCTTTTGAAATCAGCTGGTGTTGGCTAGCACCCCCCTTTCTCCTCTGCTCCCGGCTCCTGGTCCTATCCCATTCTGTTGTAGCAAAGTTACTTCTCTTAGGCATTTGCCTCTTGATGGGAAAAGACCTGGTAGAGCCCAGTTTGGAGTCAACTCTTTTCATACTATTTTACATTTCTTAAGTAGTTGCTAAGTGGGTCCCTGTTCCTAGCCTGCCTTCCCCCCCCCACCCCCCCACGACCACAGAAGCATAGAACTGCAGAGGAACCAACCTGGATCTCCAGCTCATCCTCTGCCCCTTCCACTTGACTTCTGTCTTCTGGGCGGAGCGAGCCTTCGAGAGCTCGGGGCTGCAGTTTGGCTGGTGGCTTCTTGGACTCCTTTCTCTGCTGGAAAGAGGTATTCTCTTAGGGCCCTAAGCCCCCTTACACTTGCAGAAGCAGAGCGAGGTGTGAAGCCCTGGTCAGACCCAGAGTTGTCCTGTGTGCTCTTGGAGAAAGCTGAAGCCCAGGTCACACAGCTGGCTGCTACATGGCAAGGCGGGAACGAGATACCTCAGCCTGAATGGGGGGCTTTGTGGGGAGACGTTTTACCTGGGCTTTCTGGTATTCAGGGCTCAGGAAGCTGGAGCCCGCCATGGCCAAGTCCATCCAGAGCACAGTGAAGAGCAGCAGGCTGCACAGGGTCCCCAAGGAGGGCATGGTGTCCAATGGGCCTGGAGGAGAGAGGGTCTCCAGGCACTGCCCTCCTGTCTCTCCCTGTGCCCCGGACCTCGCCCATCAGACAGGGTGAGGGGACTTGGACCTGGGATGTCACTGCTGAGGAGAAGCTCTTCCCACCCCTGCTAGAGGGGCTCCCTCTGCTCACCTCCCCCAGGGAGTGAATTGAAGGATATGTGCTCACTATTCCCAGGCTGTGCGGCAGTGGGACTCCCCATATTTGTCCTGGGCCCTTAGGGGCTTGTGCCAGGTTTCTTCATGAAGGATCTTGAAGCTGAACCAGCAGGGTCCCCAGGGTATATGGGGATTTGGGGGGTGCTCCAGCTGTCTCTGAGCAGCCGGGCTGCCCCATGTTGTGCAGTCCCCCCCACCCCTTTGTTCAGATGGGCCTGTGAATGGCCAGCAGTCAAAGTTAAACCCACGAAGCCACATCCGAAGAGTAGAGAGAGAGAGAGAGAGAGCGCCTACCTGGGGTTCCTGGTGGAGGTGGTGCCCAGTGGCTGTCCGGGCCTTATGTAGGAAGCCCTGTGTTTGTTTTGAACTGGCAACTGCATCCTGACTTCTCGTGGCTGCTTTACATTCCTCGGGAACTGAAGGTGCTCGTGCGCCCTGGGTGGCAATCAGCAGTGGAGGTCAAAAGCCTGGCCAGACTGCTGGGCTGCTTGGGTCGCTGCACCTGCTGCAGCTGTCGCCAGGTGCGGGCGGGAGGGAGGGGAGAGGCCTGGAGGCTGGGCCGGCTTGGCTGCCCTCCACTGCTCTGTGCCCCTCCTTCCGAAGCCGCCCACCTTCCTGGATAGACCGGGAGTGGTGGCTAGACTTGTGAGAGATTTTCCAGCCCGGACCTGCTCTTCTGTGACTGAGGTTGTGCTGGCTCCCGCACGCCTCCAGCTCATGGGGAGCCTGGCTCCTGTCATTCTGCTGCTGCTCCCAGCAGGGCAGTCCCGTGCCAGGAGGGGTGGCCGCTCAGGCTGCCGACCTGTCCCCTCAGAGGGGCGGGGGGGCGGATCGTCTCTGGCCGTGGCTGTGCGCGTCATTTCTTCTGGGTGGTGCTTGCTGAGTCGGCTTCCTTGGTGTTCCTAACCCCCGTGTTGGCTTGCCTCCTTTTCCCTCAGCGGGGTTCCCAGAGGGCCCAGACTGGACCTGGCGGCAGAGGGGCCGTGGCCTGGGACTGGCGCCAGTGTCTACTCCTAAATTGACGGGGCCCGGGCAGGTCCCCAGGAATCCCCCTTCTGCCAGGGCGGCTCCTCAGAGTGGCTTTGAGGATGACCTGAGGTGATGGGTGTGAAAATCCTTTATAGCCTTTGAGGTATCCTGCATGGGACAGCCCCTTGTGTTCTGGGCCTGCAGGGCTTGCAAGCATATGCCACGGTCACATGTTCTCAGAGGGAGAGTTCATTAACATCCTGGGGGATTCCCCTGGTCTGCAGAGCCTCATCTAATTGGATGTCCAGGCAGTGACTCCCAAGGGCTGAATGAATTGTCTGCCCAGAGGCTCTAGCGTTCCCGAGGAGGAACTCACTTCGGGCTGGGAGCTGGGAGCATGGGAAGGGCTCCATGCAAGAGGCAGATGGTGGAGATGGAAGGGAGGGCGCCCCTGCAGGCAGAGTGGCGGGAGCGAGGGTGAACAGAAGGCGTGGGTGTAGAGCATTTGGGGCAATGATACGAAAGCTGGCTCCCTTGGGCGAGGGTGTCAATGGGGGAGGTCATCAGGAAGGGCCCAGAAGGCGGTTCAGGGTCAGGCGATGCACAGCCTTGAAGGCTGCTAGCCCAAAGAGCTGGGGCTTTATCTGCGGGAGGGAGGCTCCTGAAGGTTCTTGAACAGAGGACTGACAGAACTGGAGCAGAATACAAGAGTTGGACAGACCTTGAAGAGCTGGGTTGCTGACCTTTGATTTCACTGGAAGGAGCCCTGACCACCAGAAAGGCCCCACTCTGCTCAAAGCCACACAGCCTGCAGTGGTGGGGCCGGCTTCCTGCGTTCCTGGCCGCCAGCTCGGTGCCTTCCCTGGTGGACCGTCACGATTCCACAGCACACATGCTATCCCAGGAAAATCCGTCTGCTCCGAGTGGGGTGGAATTGGGGCGGGGGAGCCCGTTAGGACATCGAGGCAGTAGACAGCTGGCCATCAAATGACCGGCCACCCGACTTAGAGGGGGCACTGGACCCTTGTAGAGACTCAAGGGACAGTGGAGGGGCTGGACTAAGCCCCTTAGTAGGTGGGGGAGTAAGTACGTCCTGCTGGAAAGCAGCTCGCCAGTTCCCCGGAGGGGGCTGGAATTTCTCCTTTAGCCCCAGCAGGATGCAAGGGTGTCACCAGGAGACCTTTACCCTTGCTGGCCACCTGAGCTGAGCTTAGACTGCTTGGCTCAAGGGTGTGGAGGAATAGGGAGTTCTGGGAGAAACTTGCAGCTTTTTCAGAGCCCCTCCTCCTGAAGCAAAACAAAACAAAAACCCCCTCCCCGCCAAGCCAACTATGGTGACCGGGCACCCGCTGAGCCATGAAGCCTTCACTTAATCCTGACCCTGGAGGCATCTTGAACGCAGGAGCTGCCAGTGTTGATCTTAGATAAGGCCACCAGCCAGCAAACACCCCTGCTCGCTCTGTTATCTTTGGGGAACAGAGAGGTGGCCTGTGTGTTGGAAATGACCCTAACCACATACCACCGAGTCGAGGCTGGTTGGCGGAGGAAGGAACATCTGATGGATGCCAGAACCGTTGAGGAAGGAGCCAGGTGGCACCCAGAACTTTCCTCACTGCCCACTCACAGTTGTGGGAGCAGGGGCAAGTGTGGGGTGGGAAACGCACAAACATCGGAACCAAGAGGAGCTCGGAGGAAGACGGTGTGACTCCGGGAGGTGGGGGCGGGGGGACTGACTTTCCCCAGGCTCATTTTCCTCCTCATTCCTTTCACGTGTGGGTAATACCAAGGCTGGTTTGGCACCCCCCCCCCCCCCATCCTGTGTCTTTCTCAGAACTTAGCAGGTGTTTGGTGCATATGTTTCCTCTGGGTTGCTTGCTGGTTGGTGATTTCCTGCCATGGTGGGGCCTTGAGGGCCTGCCTTAAGAATGGATGAGAAGCACTCATCATCTCTGAATTAATTGCTATATGTAAATGGTGTCTGAGAACAAATTATCTTTATATACTTTCTTCTATCACTTCTACTGACAAGTAATTGGCTTGGGTAGCACTGTTTTCATCAACTGGCCAACGAATGAGGCAGATTTTGGGGTTGTAGAAAGAGGTTTTTATTTTTTGGTGATAGGGTTGCAGATAGGGTATTTTTTGGTGGGGTTTCTTTTTTGTTCTGGCTTCCGTAACTTCTGGATCAGCATTGTTCAACAGAAATAATCATGCCAGCCTCAACGAGCCTCATAAGTAATTTTAAATTTCCTAGGAGTCATATTAAAAAATATGTAAAATCAGGTGAAATCAATTTTAATATACTTTAAGATATTCAAAATATCAGTTTGACATGTAATCAATACCAAAATGATTAATGAGATATTAGACACTGGTTTTCTTTTTACTAAATCTTCAAAATTCAGGGCACCTTACATTTTCCAGCACAACTCCGGTCACACCAGCCACACACATGCTTAGTAGCTGCATGTGGCTCGTGGCTGCTGCCCTGGACAGTGCAGTTCTAGATTAGATAATCACGAGTGTCATTTTTGCAGCTTGTACAACCTTAGCCACACTCTCTTTCATGCCTCCTGCTATCCAAGCCGGGTCTCCCACCAAGGCTTCCCGTTCTCCTGCCATCATGGAGTTTCCTTCGCCTATCTTCAGTCTTTCTTCCCAACAGCTTCTGCCCTCAGCCTAAGAATATACCTTGCTCTCTAATCCTGGAAAGGCCTGTTTGGCACTGATCCCCCTTCCCCTCACCCTACGTAATCCCGGCCTAACTTCTTTCCCTTTCCTTGTATCTTCTTCCTTAGTGTGCACCGGCCCCTCACAACCCGAGGAGACTCCCACCTCCACTGTGCTGAAGTTGTTTTCCCCGCATCGCGGCCAGTGTAGCTTTAGGCAGGGACCACTGAGAGCCAGGGGATCGCAGGGTGAGGACCTTAAGACCTTCTGATGTCAACTGCTGGGTGGAGGCCTGTGCTGGGCTGCACTGAATTTGTGGGGAAGCTTCTAAGAATGCTGGGTTTTTTTTTTTTTAATGCCTCTAATTCTGATCTAATAGGTCTGGAGTGGGGCCCCAGAATCTGAATTTTTTAATAAGTTTTAATTTAAATTCCACTTAGTTAACACACACAGTAATATTCGTTTCAGGTGTACAATATAGTGATTCAACACTTCCATACATCACCTGGTGCTCAAGTGCCCTCCTTAATCCCCATCATCTATTTCACCCATCCCCTCCCACCTCCCCTTTGCTAACCATCAGTTTGTTCTTTATAGTTAAAAATCTGTTTCTTGCTTTATCACTTTCACTTCTTCCTCTTTGCTCATTTGTTTTGTTTCTTAAATTCCACATATGAGTGAAATCATATGGTATTTGTCTTTCTCTGACTTATTTCACTTAACATTATACACTTGAGCTCCATCCATGTCATGGCAAATGGCAAGATTTCATTCTTTTTTATGGCTGAGTAATATTCCATCACCCCCTCCCCCCCATCTTCTTTATCCATTCATTAGTCAGTGGATACTTGGGCTGTTTGCATAATTTTATTGTATAAATTTATTGCATAAATTTATTGTAGATAATGCTGCTATAAACATCAGGGTGCACATATCTCTTTGAATTAGTATTTTTGTATTCTTTGGGTAAATACCCAAAGTAGTGCAATTACTGGATCATAGAGTAGTTCTATTTTTAACTTTTTGAGGAACCTCCATACTGTTTTCCACAGTGGCTGCACCAGTTTGCATTCCCACCAACAGTCCAAGAGGGTTCCCCTTTATCCACATGCTCGCCAACACCTGTTGTTTCTTGTGTTGTTGATTTTAGCCGTTCTGACTGGTGTGAC